TCAACAAATCTGCCCAAGAATTGCATCTTTGCTCATATCTGGGGAGACTCACCTCCAGGATGCAAACAAAAGATACATTGCACCTCAAGCTTCCAGTCTCCCTCTGGCTGAGGAAACTTTTCATGTCCCACATACCATGTAAGCATCAGTTTTCTGAAATCAAACTTTTAACCTAAAAGTAATGGGTCAACTTATATATGGGTGATACTTCTGAGGTGTTGAAATCCATCCTGTTCCACCATCTCGCTCACAGCAGTACACAAAGTTGCAAGATCAGAGACCACTCCTGCCCGACTCCACCCCAAAACTAGCGCAAAAGGAGCCAGAAAGCTGTTTAATCATTCTGTGCAGAGACAAAAATCAGTCAAATAGCCTCCTTTGAATGAGTAGGTCAGCACCCACTGCATGTTTGACCATAGCAGCGATTAGGTGGTAAGTAGAAAGAGTTGGATATTTTGACTAAAAGTCAAGGGCTGACTTATATACCAGATCGACTATTACTTGAGTATATAAGATATTTTGTCAATGATAAAATCAATCGTGCTCTGTACTTTATCTTCACCGACCTTTCCCTTCACCGCAGTTTGTTGCCTTTTACTTCTACGTTCATTCCAAGATCTGAAATTTATAGAACTCCTTGTCTCCCTCAATGTTTTCATTCACTTGCTATCTACGTATAATATCTATGTATAATATCTCTGTAATATCTAGGTTTGACTTCATTAAGTATTACATCCTGATCATCCTCAATATTTTTACTCTTTGCATTTTTGAGCCTTTGCCCTTCACCTTTGTTTCACCTTTTTGTTGCATTGCAATGCCAGTGTCAGAGCATGAGTATAAGACCAATCCACAATTTAAACACAAGACCTTTTGGAGCCAGACACAGAGGGTTGTCAGTGAACTAAACTGACCCATTTTAGCTTTAATTTCTGTCTATTCAGTCTATAATCATGAATTAAACTTAGTGAGGCTTATTACTATATTATCTGAGTGTTGTTTATTTTCAATATCAAGATAACACAATACCATAATAAAGATCGCTAAAGCATCATGAACTCTGTCATTACATTGAGAGCTATGCTGAGCACTTCCATATTGTTCTGTTCTCTGTGGATTAGTTTCTCTTTGATGTTATCAACGTTACCCTTTTTATAAAATAAAGTGTCTTTGTACGAAGGGATCATTTTCATTTCTGTAACAGTAAAAATGAAACCACTGCATTACAGACAATTTTCAGTTTCTTTAGACCAACAATGAACAAGGAATATGTCACACATATATATAGCTGTGTGCAGGTAAATACACTTAATCAAATTCTCCTCTGGTGCCAGTACTGTTTGGTTGAGGTCATGGGTTGTGAATAAAGCGCATTCCCATTGGGTTTTTGGCAGCTACACACAACTGTTTGCACAAATGCCTTTTGTGAACATGGTTGGCCGTTCTGCCAAGTCACCGAGTGCTGTATTCATTTCCTCATTCAGTAGACTAGACTGTATTGAAAGGGTAGAAGAACCCTGTCAGGATTGAAATAACTCCACAGAAGCTCAGAAACATGTGGAACTCTAAACCATCTGTATCCCATACTTTCAGCACTAGAACCCCTTTTTGTCTGTTTAAGAGGAATAAGGTAAGAATCAGACATTCACCTTTAGCTGCTTCAAGTTGACAATGACCAAAGATTCAATACTCGTGAAAGTTTGAATGTTTTCTCAATGTCTACAGATGGAAATTTGTATGTTGTAAAGTCGGATTTATTCTGTTACACATGTGGTATTTCACATATTTCAAAAACCTTGACAAGAAGGCTGGAACATTTAGTTTTGGAACCCTTGGAGCATCCTGGTTGAGCATGTGTGGGAAAATTATCCACTCATCAGCCTGTAACTGTCAGCTGTTAAAATAATGACTGAAATTTTATGGGCTAGATCTGTGCAATTCACATTATATGTTCCTGGAGTGGAACACCATAGTAGCAAAGACCAGCTGATCTGTCTAAGCTGCAGACAATGGCACAATGATTCCCATTCAATTTTCTACAACTTCCTGATCCATGTGTACTTTTGCAATAATTGCTCTTAAACTTATCTCACATTGGAGTTCAACTAAGCAATACCATTCCATTTGATTGATTAGGGCCAAGTAATGGGGATGCGTGGCCAATATATTGGATACTTATTGAAGAGGAACAGTCTCTCATGCTACCTGTGTGATTGTAGTTTGTATTCGTGACACAGTGTTGGTGATTGACAGTGCAGATGAGGTCAGTGTCGGTGTCTCGATGTTGTCCACTTTGGTTTCCTGGAAAATTGAATGCCAAAAATGTGGTTGGTGCTGAATTAATTGGTCTGAGCAAACCCGGCAGTACATCTGACCATAATGTTGCTGGGCTTTAGCTAAGTGAGGAACCAAATATCCAGGATGCAACAATTCTGCTTGTTATTCTTTGGAAATGTTCACTGGTACTTGTTCGAGTTCAGCTCTGATGCCTTCCAAAGTTAAATAACTCTTTATTCAGTCTAGCAAGTGAAAGTCGGTTTTGTGAACAAGGACTACACTATGTAGGTAGAGAAAAATGTTCTGTTTATGCAATGATATCACGTCTCTTGGAAACAATGACAACAGAATGCATAGGTTTTAGCACCTTTGACACTGTGGATTAGACTTCTTCATCTGCATTGGCTCCTATTCAAACAAAGCTTTGATGCTAAAATACACCCTTGATTTCAAATCCCTCCATGGCCTCTGGCCCACTGCAATCTCCTCCAGCCTTCATGATTCTGAGAGACCTGCTCTCCTCCCATTCTAACCTCTTCATTCTCCCCAGTTGTACCCACACCAGCAGTGGTGGCCAGGCCAATGACTGCCAAGGCCCTAAACTCTGGTATTCCCTCATTAAACCTTTCCAGCTCTCTCCCTTGCTGTCCTTCCTTAAGGTCCTTCAGGTCCACCTTAAAACCTGCTTTATTGATTATGCTTTTGGACATCTATCCTAAAGATGCCGCAGGTGGTTCAAATGCTATGTTCCTGTGAAGCGCCTGAGAAAGTTCTATTGTGTTAAAAATGCTATATGAATGAAGTTGTTGTTGTTGGTTTTAACTGATGCAGCCAATGGAAGCCAGGTAGGGAGGTTGGCTGAGATGTTTCATTGTTCCTGTTCTCACTCTCACCTGCTGGTGCCATTGGGTCTCCAATGTAATTTGAAGTCCTGGTCTGAGAAAGGACAATGTTTTCCCTTTTCCTCTCAAGGCAAGAGGAGCCTAAACTAGTGGGTGCTCAGGCACGTGATTAATTTTATTTTGCTCACAAAGCTGGGCGGAGTAGCGTTGATCCTTTTGTCCTCACAACGAAGGTTTAGCTCTTCCCCATCCTAGGGGAGGGCCACTGCCTTGAGCAGAAGACCCTCTCAAAACAACTCGCTATGTGATTTACCTCAGCACCAGTGACTTGTTGGTGACCCCACAGTTTGCAGCAAATGTCTACTTCCCTCCGGTTTCAGGCAAGTGATTGAACCGGGTATCCAGATCAGAAGAGAAAACAAAATCCCCCCAGGTATGCCCTCCATGTTGTACACCCACCTAATATCTACCCTCTTCCCCCACACTATGCACAGAATTCCTAGAGAATGTCTTCACACAACGAAATCCAGAACCAATCCAAGCTTACAGGTTTAAATCCCACCAGGGTGGCTGGTGGAATTTAATTTCATCAAAAAACTCTGATATTGAAAGTTAGTCTCTGTAATGGGGTCAATGCAACTATCATCAATTGTTGTAAAATTCCATCTGGTTCACTAATACCTTTCAGAGAAGCATATCTGCTCCCTTACCTAGTCTGCGTTGTATGTGACGCCAGAACTACATTGTGTCTGACTCTCAGTTGCCTTCTGTATTTGTCAGGGAGCAACTCAGTTCAAGGACAGCCATGGATAGGTAATAAATATTGGCCTTTGCAGGCAATGCCCACATCCCATGAAAGAAAAAGTTTTTAAAATCCCTTGCTGGGCTAAAATCAGGCCTTCACTTTCTGTATTCTACGTGATCCATGTCTATTTGGAAGAGATTATTGAGATAGGCTTGTTTCGGATGAAGGCACAATGGAGGAAGTCCCCTCATCTCAAAGATCTCGGCTGCAGCTCCAAGTTTTGCAAACCCACAAACAGGTGCCTGCTTTCATTTGAAGGACAGGATGGCATTCTCCGTCAGGAAACTCCCCTTGTTTGAGATGTCATCTTTCAAATGGCTCGTGACGTGGTTAGAAAAGGAAGATTCTCTGAGCATTGACATTTGGCATCAAACCTTTACAATGAAACCCTAAACACTGAGCAAACATTTTATGGTTGGAACGGTGGCTCACTGGTTAGCACTGCTGTCTCACAGCACCAGGCACCTGCGTCCGATTCCACTCCCAGGTGACTGTGTGGAGTTTGCACATTCTCTCCGTGCCTGCGTGGGTTTCCTCTCAAAATCCAAAGAGGTGCAGGTTAGGTTAATTGGTCATGGGAGACTATGGGGATCGGATATGGGGCTGGGTGGGATGCTCTTTAGAGGGTTGGTGCACTCTTTGTGGGCTGAATGGCCTCAAGCAGTGAAAAAGGAAAAGTGGATAGCACTGCTGCCTCACAACGCCAGGGACTGAGGCTCAATTCCACCCCCTTGGGCAACTGTCTGGGTTTTGTACATTCTCCCTGTGGCTGCGTGGGTTTCCTCCAGGTGCTCCGGTTTCTTCCCACAGTCCAAAGATGTGCAGATCAAGGTGGATTGGGAAATGCAGGATTACAGGGATGGGGCAGGGGCGTGCGTCTGGGTGGGATGCTCTTAGGCAGGTCGGTGTGGACTCAATGGACCAAATGGCCTGCTTTCTCACTGTATGGATTCTATGATTCTATTTCAAATTTGCCACCGAGGGAGTACCATTTGCTATCTGAGTTTTTATAATCTTGGCACTGTTATCTTGGCAGTGGTAATTAATCACTTTACCTTCCTGCTGTCTTTCCTCAGGTACCACAGGCCAAAACAATAGTGTGCTAGCATCCCTGCAGCTACAAGGAAGAGCCATGCAGCCAGCTCTCGATATGAAACACTTACTACCCTTTCGGCTAAACAACCCCTCTCCCGTTGGATTATTTCCCAACTTCAACACAGTAAGTCTTCTTGTTGTCTGTACTTGTTCACCTTTAAGGAACCTAAAGAGAGCGAAACAAATAATGACTATTTGCTTTTTTGTACCAGTGCCTACAATGTACAGTGCTATGGTTAATGAATAAGTATAGGGTGACTACATCATCGAGTCACTGGTTCTAAGGAGCGACGCTGGGAAATCTGTCCAAAGGGATGTAAAACATAACCAGTTCTGGATAAGGTGAACCTGAGGCAAAGTCATATGTCAGTCACAAGCAGTTGTTTTATACAGTTCTACCTTCAACATGATTTTATAGATTCTAGCTGATGCTCAGTGACTTTTGTGGCTGGTGTCTTGCTTGAAATGTTTTCAGAGGATCAATTTGTTTTGGTCTAAAGCACGAAAATATGTGCAGTAAAAATTCTACCCAAGACTGCCAAGCTCGGGAAATTAATCTCAATTTAGGGACGTGATTTTGATCTAACTCTGGTGGCAGGGACTCTGCAAAATATAATTCTGGATTTATCTTTTTCTCGTTTGCTTTTCTCTCTATTTTCTACTGTCAGCCCAGTCCCTTTAGGGTGACTGGTCACAGCTTTGCTCTGAATTGGCCCAGCTTCGCTCCAAAGCACCAAGGATAGTTGGTGTCCGAAATGGGTAACTTCAGTAATGTTGGGATGATCTCGCAAAATTGAGATTCATAAAAATTGTTGTGGGCAAGTAGCAGCATAGAATCCCTATGGGAAGCAGGCCATTTGGCCCATTGAGTCCGCACCAACCCTCCACTGAGCATTCCACCCTACCATATCCCCATAACTAATCCACCTAGCCTGCACATCCCTGTACACTACAGGGCAATTTAGCACGGCCAATACACCTAACATTGCTCATCCCTGTACACTACAGGGCAATTTAGCACGGCCAATCCACCTAACATTGCTCATCCCTGTACACTACAGGGCAATTTAGCACGGCCAATCCACCTAACCTGCACATCCCTGTACTCTACAGGGCAATTTAGCACGGCCAATCCACCTAACCTGCACATCCCTGTACACTACAGGGCAATTTAGCACAGCCAATCCCCTAACCTGCACATCCCTGTACACTGCAGGGTAATTTAGCGCAACCAATACACCTAACCTGCACATCCCTGTACACTACAGGGCAATTTAGTGCGGCCAATCCACCTAGCCTGCACATCTTTGGACTGTGGGAAGAAACTGGAGGAAACCCACGCAGATGCAGGGAGAATTTGCAAACTTCACACAATCACTCAAGGCTAGAAACAAACTTGGGACCCTAGGGCTGTGAGGCAGCAGTAGTTAACCACTGTGCCACCTACAATCTACAATGAGTGTACTATTCTGGAAGTATTCAGGAATTGACTTATTACTCCCTCAGAAGTTATCAAAGGAGGTGAGCTGGCACGAACGGTAGCTGAGCAATAAGTCAATCCCCACCTTTATCGTGCACCGTACCATCCCCTCACCCCAAACCATTTTCAAGCATGCAGGATGGGGGATGTTCATCAGCTCATTGAGGGTCACTCAACACCAATTGAAGGAGCAAAATGATAATGCTGCAGATGCTGGAAATCTGAAACAAAAACAGAAAGTGCTGGAGGAATTCAGACAGCATCTGTGCAGAAAGAAAGCAGAGTTAATGCTTCGAGTCTGGTTCTGACTTCTTAAGAACTGAACAGTCATGCCGGATTTGAAACGTCAACTCTGCTTGCTCTCACCATGGATGATGCCAGACCTGCTGAGTTTCTCCAGAACTTTCTGCGTTTGTTACTTATTAAAGGAGGCTTTGCTGGGATTTTTCAGACGGCATCCAGTTTTCCGGGAGCGCTGGGAACAATAAGGCCGCCTGGAGACAGCTTTGTGCCATCAATACTCTCGACAGAAAGTCTCTCTGACTGCTCAGGTGCTGAGGAGACTGTGGAGGGGCAGTACCTTCACACTGCTGATCTGCCTGCAAACACCATTTCTCATTTAAACTTTAAAGAAGAAGAGAAAAGGCAGAAAAGCACATCCATTTGAGGCACCCTGCCTCCTAGTTACCTTCTGCTGCATCTGGCTATGGCTTTCAAGGTGGAAGACCTCTTGGTGGTCTTGTGACTTTATGAGTTTATCTGATGTCCTCATGACAAGGCTGTTTGTCCACTAGCCTTTAGTTAGCTGCCTCTGGGGAAGGCAGAATGAATGAATTTTTCCCGCACTGTGCAGGCCTCTGATGGTGATAGAGAAGGTCTTGAACCTCACACCATGTGATCTTGGGCGGCAAGAGCTACCCACTGAGCCACAACTGGCAATTATCACCCCTGCTCCACTACATGGTGGAACTATATGGTGGTCTGGAGCAAAAAGCCTCAACTACGATTTTGCTCCTACCTTAGCCTAGGATGCTGAGTGGATGAGACTATCTAATTGGAATAAACCTTGGGATGTTCCTGTTCTGTACAGTTCAACCGATCATTGGTCAGTATCTTTCCCATCAAAGATTTTAATCTTTCTCATTAGTTTGGCACTGTTACCCGTAGCTCCTATTTTGTCATGTACAGGAGACAAATTGACTTTTCTTTGACCATCTTATATTGGCTGCTGTCCTGTTGCTTGATGGATGCACAGTTAGCTCCTGAGACATGCCAAAAAGTTTGAAAATTACTGCCCCATTTCGATCAGCATGAGTCCAAGATATAATTTTCTCTCCCTCAGGTTGTAAATCACTGCCTTAATTGCCAACATAACCTGTTTTACTCCATGATTCGCAGTCTGAAAAATCGGAGCAGTTTTTAATCAGTGAGTAACTGTTCTCCATTTAGTTTCCAAGCAGCCAGCAATTTACACTTACTCCCAATTGATTTTTTTTAAAAATATCCATTTTTGCAGGGTATGGGATTTGCTAGCAAGGCCATCGCTGTGGGACTAGAGTCATGCTTTGGCCATTCTGGGTAGGGTAGTAGATATTAATGGTTATTAACAACAACTGCAGGGAGTTTCATGGTCACCATTACTGAGACTAGCTTAGAAGGCTGTTATGTCGCAGAGGTAATGTCCCTACCTTTGAGCCAGGAGATCTTCATTCAAGTCCTACCTGCTCCAGAGATGTGTAATAACATCCATGAACAGGTCGATTAGAAATTATCTACAAAGACTAGCTTTATAGTTCAGATTTATTAAATAGATTTAGTGCAATCTGAGACTGGCTATCCTGGATTACTAACCCTGTGAAATTACCACTACACCACCATCTTCCCCCGCGATCATTTAGCATGGAGACATCTCCATGAATGTCCAGTGCAGATACCTCCAACGTTCTGGAGGTTTCATGGGTACGTGCTGAGAATACTGGTGATAAGACAGTAATAGGACAGAGAGAATGGAAAGGTGCAGGAATCTAACGTCAGGCACAGAGATAAGGGACAACTGTGACAAGGTGAGCAGTCAACACATTGCACTTAAATGCATGCAGTATATGAAACAAGGTAAATGAGCTTGTTGCACAGATTGAAATTGGCAGGCACGATGTTGTGGAAATCACAGAGATGTAGCTGCAAGGGGATCAGGGCTGAGGACTAAATATCCAAGAATACATGTCCCATTGAAAAGACAGGCTGATGGACAGAGGGAGAGAGGTTGCCTTGCTTTTTAGAAAAGGGAATTAAATCAATAGCAAGAAGCAATATATGGTTGGAAGGCAGAGAATCAGAGTGGGATAGTTGAGAAACCACAAAGGAAAAAGGACTCTGATGGTAGTTGTGTACAGGCCTCCTAGCAGTAGTCAGGATTTGGGGCAAAAATAAATCAGGAAATAGAAAAGGTATGTAAGAAAGACGCTATTACAGTAATCGTCGGGACTTCAATATGCAGGTGGACTGGGAAAATCAGGTTGGTAGCAGATCACAAGAAAAGGAATTTGTGAATATTTACAAGATGGTTTTTTGGAGCAAGTTGTGATAGATCCCATTAGCAAACAGGCAATTCTGGATTTGGTCATATGTAATGAGGCAGACTTGCTTAGGGAGCTTAAGTTGAAGGAACTCCTAAGGGGTAGTAACCATAATATGGTAGAATTCACCCTGCAGTTTGAGAGGGAGAAGCTGGAATCAGATGTAACAGTATAACAATTGAGCAAAGATAACTACAAAAGCATGAGGGAGAAGCGGGCCAGAGTTGCTTGGAACAGAAGCCTAGATGGGAAGACAGCAGAGCAGCAATGGCAGGAATTTCTGGGGGTAATTCAGGAGGAACAGCAGAAACTCATCCCAAGGAAGAAGAAACATGCTGAAGTGGAGACAAGGCAACCATAGCTGACAAGGGAAGTCAGGGACAGCATAAAAGCAAAAGAAAAAGTAAAAATTGTGATGAGAATTAGTGGAAAGCCAGAGAATTGGAAAGCCTTTAAAAACCAGCAGAGGACAACTGAAAAAGCATTAAGCGGGGAGAAGATGGAATATGAGGGTAAGCTAGCTAGTAATAAAGATCAAGATTGTAAGAGTCTTTTTAGATATGTGAAGTGTGATGCCACAATGGCTTTTGTATTTTGTATTTTGTCCTTTCTTTTTATGAAGGGAGGTTGAGACAGGGATGATGAGCAGTCTGCTTTAAGCCAATAAAGTAAATAGCTGTGGAGTCTTGGGGTTTTTATTAAGAACAATAAAAGCAGCCTGAATGGGTATCACAGTACCAAGATTTTTAGGTTTAGCTATCAGTAGCTGTTGGACTTGTGAAATCTGCTACACCTTTCTCTCTCTGTCTTTGCTACAGCTAAACGCTGAAGTTCTCTTCCAGCTTCCAGAATTGCATGTGAGATGATCTATGTTACTGAATTTGCCTTTGCCATGGATGTGCTAAGCCCATTCTTTCCTTTTATTTTCATTTTGTCTGTACTTCAACTAGCGAAGAAGGTTAGCTAAGAGTACAACGGGATCTTAATCACTTGGGCCAATGGGCCGAGGAGTGGCAGATGTAGTTTAATTTAGATAAATGTGAGGTGCTGCATTTTGGAAAGGCAAAC